AACCCCGAACACGCGTTTCACAGCCCCTTTTAAACCCTCCATCTCCGCCCTCCTTCTCAATCCACATCTCTGTCTCGTGCGCCAAGTCCGTGTGACGCCAGTGCCCTTTAACCCTTGACCCCCGTCTAGTGCATTCCCGTGCGTGTGATTGGTTTGTGTTTGTGCTATGTTGAGTGCGGAGATTGTGTGTCTGTGTGGTGCGATTGTGTGAGGATGGCTCGGACATCCCCTACACAAGTTTTAAATATTTCAGAACGGGCAATTACACTGCGAGAAGGGACGGTAATTGCGCAGATATCCCCAGCGATGGAGATTCATGAAGATGCAGTAGTACCGGGGATACAGGAAGAGAAGGATGGGATAGGGCGGAAGAAATCATTCAATGGAACCCTGAGTTGACTCAAGGTCAAAGAGACCGCCTTAAAAGTCTCCTAGAATTTGGAGACGTTTTCAGTCTCGCCCATATGATTTGGGTTGCACGGATTTGATGCAGCACCATATTGAAACGGGTAAATGCTCAATCCGTTAGACAGAATTCATATAGAGTGGGACCAGCAGAAAGAAAGCAGATCAGTAGAGCTGGATGTTACCAGGGCATGGTCGAGCGGGTATATAAGGTGGGGCGAGGCCCACGATCAGGGCGCTGGCTCGGAGACTAAAGGACGACTACAGGTGGACGACATCGGGGCCGACTGTTGGAGATTGACATGGTGGAAACCATCAAGACAGACTTCCGAGATCTACATGGTGGAAACCATTAAGAAAGACCGTTCGAGATTAATCTAATGGGAACCACCAGGGCTGCAGATAGTCATAGACTTGTGAACATGTTCACCTTGTAAATACGTTACTGTAAAATAAATCGTCTAGAAAATGAAACCTGCTCAGGAGCTTCTTTACACATCTGAAACAAAGCCAAAGATCCCTTGTATAGACCTTAAACTGCTGGGCAAGTACTGTTAGCAAGCACCTATGAAGGGCAACATGGTACACCTATGAGAGACTGGTGTGTCCAGGACTGCGCCCGGCCGCCTTTGTCTCCCCAATCCACCGCCTCAGCAGCAGCAGCCGCCGTCATTCAGAAGCAGAATATTTATCGTGGAGAAATCCGATAAGCTAGAAAACTCTTTTTTCACAGATGTCTCGTAGGGGTGGTCAAAAAGTTACAACAATAAACAATACAAAACACAATAGGAGTACAAAGTTTAGGAAAAGTAAACAAATAACCAGTTAAAGCCCACCGAGCGAATGGCTCTTTTTCAGAAGCGACCTGTCTACAAATGATAGCTCAACGAAGTGGCTCAACATGTGGGCATTTATAGCAGCCAAATAATCGAGTGGCGGCGATGCAGAGCTTTGTACCAAGCTAGGTGCACTTGGCGGCAAATAGCTACGAGTCTCGATCCGAACCTCCAAGCTGCTTTAACCCTGTCTCGCCAGTCAATTACTCGCGGCCGGGTGGTGAACTGTTGATGATATAAACAGAATCAGTATTTATACTGAAGAATCCGGTGAGCTATGAAGTTATACTGGTAGGAACCTCCTGGTTACACCAGCCTACAGGGGATTGTGTCCGTCGTGCAGGGAGGGGCTGGGTGGGGAGGGAGGGGCTGGGTGAGTGGGGAGGGGAGGGGCTGGGTGGGGAGGGGCTGGGTGGGAAGGGGCTGGGTGGGGAGGGTGGGCTGGGTGGGGGGTGGGAGGGGTGGGGCTGGGTGGGAAGGGGCTGGTCATCCCGTGGTGCCCTTATAAAACTCAACGTTTAACCTACTCACGCCGGCTTGTGCCCGCCCACACAGTCGGCCATATTTGCAGAATACACCACGCCGCCGTTGACCCTGCAGACCATTGACCGAGCAACCCAACGTTCCTACCAGCTCCCTCCGCAGGAATGTGTTTAATGTGAAGTTATACCATACATGAGAGTCGTTGGTGAAAAGTCATGTATGAACCTGCCAATATAAAATAACTGCGATAAATTTTAAATCCAAATGGTAACCTATAGACGGTATAAAAGACCGTTCAATAGTCATTGATCGTAAACAATGCGGTTTCCTAGAGTAACCATCGCGTTCGAACACATTACGCGTCATGCACACAGCGGCGTCCGTTGAATTTTTCTTATTTTCTTACACTTACTAGTTAGTTAGGATACCTCACAAAATGGACAATTGATTAAACATTGATTTTCATTTTTCATGCTTTTATTTCTCAGAACCATGTTGGGTCAGGCAAGGGGGCGGTTAAAGAGTAGCCACATATTATTTGGTTCTTTCGTTAAAGTCACGTAGATAAAAATAAAGTGAATAAAAAAACACTAGTATTTTTTTGTTTCATGATTTTTACTTTTATTCACGTTATTTTTTTCTATCTGCGTGACTTTACTGAAAGAACCAAAGAATATGAATTCCTGCAGTCACGAATGTTTTAAGGGGCCGTCCATAAATGACGTCACGAACCTAAGGGGGGGGGGTCAGACATTTATGACGATGTGTGACGGGGGGGGTTAAGAAATGTGACGTCACATCAAAATGCGCTACTTTAAATAAATATAGACAACACGTTCTACTTAATTGAATAGACTTTTTAATGTTTTCTCCTACAACATCAGAGTGCAGCGCCACATTAAATGCGCACTACAATGACAATAGTTTAAAGCGATTTGAAGCATATTTTTCGATTTAAAGCTTTCGTGACTGCAGGGATCCATCTTCTTGGTTCTTTCGGTAAAGTCACGTAGAAGGAAAGTAATAAAATAATAAAAAAATAATAAAAATAAAACATAATAAAATAAAATAATTCTCACGACGTTTCGGCTACAACGCAAGCAGCCGTCTTCAGGCTGCTTGCGTTGTACCCGAAACGTCGTCTTCAGGCTGCTTGCGTTGTACCCAGTGGCGGCTGGTGATATTTATTTTTGGGGGGGCGCATTTTTTTTATTTTATTGAGGGGGGCAAATAAATATAAAGCAGTACCAAAAACCATTTTGACTACTTGAATATAAATTTTGATGATCTTTATTTACATTTCAGACCAAAAGAAGTACCAAAAAGCATGTTTCCTACTTGAACATAAATGTTTCTCTTTTATATACATTTCAGACCAAAGTACCAAAAAGCATGTTTCCTACTTGAACATAAATGTTTCTCTTTTATATACATTTCAGACCAAAGTACCAAAAAGCATGTTTCCTACTTGAACATAAAAACGTTAGTTTCATGCTATTATCAATATGGCTGCGGCTACTTTCATGACGTTTGCATTTGTCAGAGAGATGTTTGAGGTCTCTTACCTTCGTCGTTGTCCACAAAACTTCAGTGCCGACACTTTGAAATAAAAGACAGGGAAAACAAAAAAGAGAATTGCTAACATCACATCCAGCCAGCCACCTCCGTTTCTCATAACAAGCGCGGGTGAAGCTTCGTGTGTAGCTTCGTCCTCTGTCACTGGCCTGCTGCTGGATTTGTAAATCGGGTTGGTCCGGTCCGAGATCCTTTATCTTTTTTATTTCTTCCAGCGAAAGCCTTGTGAAAGGGTTTTTTTGTAAATAAATTACAGAATTTGGATGAACTGCTGCCATTGTTTACACAAAAAATTTGATCAGCCTAGCAAGTGTCAAAGTGGTGTCGCCTTCGCACTCGCAGTAGTGGCCTACAGCGTAAATTTGAATGACAGGTGACGAGAACCAATCAGATTGGATAAAATAACATGTATCCAATTCTGATTGGCCAGGGACGCAACGACTTGCGCCCCGAGGAGAATCTTTAAGAAACCAATTAGAGATCAGCTTCAGGTCACATGCTGTCCGAAAATGTAAAGTCTCACATAGACATCCATTTGTCCGGCGCCCCGCATGAAACACATTGAAAAACATAGAAAATAGTTGACCGATTAAAGCCAGTTTTTATTAAATGCTGATGCTTTTCTTACTACCAGCCGGCACATCGTATGAAAAAAATATTTTATTTATGTATTTTTATATAAATTTTGCATATGTATATTTCTTGAATATTGATGGGGGCGGCGCCCCTGCGCCCTCTATTGACGAGCCGCCACTGGTTGTACCCGAAACGTCGTGAGAATTATTTTATTTTATTATGTTTTATTTTTATTATTTTTTATTATTTTATTACTTCCCTTCTACGTGACTTTACCGAAAGAACCAAGAAGATTTGAAGCATGTTTATTTTTTTTGTGGGGGAGGGGGCAGAGCTTTGTGACGTCATATTTGAGGGGGGGGGGGTCTGACTTTTTGTGACGCCGTGTGACGATGGGGGGGGGGGTCAAAAATCGTCCAAAATCACGTGACGTCATTTATGGACGACCCCAAAGTGAATCAAATCAAATAAAAAAACACGAGTAAAAAAACACGAGTGTTTTTTTTATTTGATTCACTAGTGTTTTATTATTATTTTATTTGTATTCACTTTATTTGTTTCTATCTGCGTGACTTTACCGAAAGAACCAAAGAATATGAATTCCCGCAGTCACTAAAGTTTTAAGTCAAAGGTAGCCACACAATTAGAGAACCACATTGCCCAAGTGGCGGGGGGGGGGGAGATTTTCTCCCCTTAGCAAGATGGCGACCGTCTGCAACGTCTCCTGCGGGTGACGTCACGCCGCTATCCGCGAGCGTCAACAACATTGCAAGAATTCTAGACTTGAAGCTTTCGTGACTGCAAGGAATCATATTCTTAGGTGTTTTCGGTAAAGTCACGTAGGCAAAACATCTAAATTAATAAAAATAATAATTTTATTATTTTTATAATACATCAAAATTAATAAAAATAATACAATTATTATTATTTTATGATGTTTTACCTACGTGACTTTACCGAAAACACCTAAGAATAACATTGCAGGAACGCCGCTTTACATTCCCTATCGCGAATAAACGCGGCGCCGCGCTTACGACGAATCCGATTGGTCGAAATCGGCGGTTGTGGCTGAGCCGTAGCCAATGGGACACGGCGATGGGCGTGGCTTGGCTAATGCGTTCTAGGTAATGTGAGTGAGGCCCCACACGTGGTTCCGGGTTCGCTCTGAGTGTTTCTCTTCTCTGTTGAGTGTCAGCAACAATGTCCAGCGGCACCGTTCAGGCAGCAGCGGTAGGAGCAGCAGGAGGGGGGAGCTGCGGGGCCGAGAACGCAGAGAAGAAGCCCCTCAAGCCGTGCTGTGCATGCCCGGAGACGAAGAAGACTAGGGACGCATGGTGAGGCTCGCCCGGGGGGAGTGAGGGGATTGGTCTCGGATGTTGTATCTGGATGGGGTCTCCCCTTCACGGCAGTGATCTCTCCCCTGTTATCTACACTTGCGTTTCTGAGAGCATTCGACTGCTAAAATGTCCACATGATAAGCCACTTTGTTGAGTTATCGTGTTTGGTCAGGTCGCTTCTGAAGGAGAGTTGTATAGTTCAGTGGGCATTAGCTCGTAAAATAAAACCAACTGTGCTCATTCAGCAGTGTCGTGGGGTATCATCTGCCAGTTATCTCAGACAACCGATAGCACCTGGGTCTGTCCAGTTACCTCCTGGCAACAGCAGCGAGCCTCCCTCACACTTCACGCGACAGCCACAAGGTACACCTAGCCTGGCACAAGCGCTCTGCTGACGTCACCGCGTCTTTTGTTGATGTCCTATCGTGCCATGATTGGCGGGTGATGAAACGTGTGTGTGTGTGTAGCGGTAGCGCTGTGGTTGACGTGCTATGCTGTGACCTCTGCAACCCGAGTTCGATTGCCCATCACAGTCAAGCATAGTCAACGAATGCCTGAACCGGTCCTGGGCCTCCGCAAGGTCCACTCGGCCTGCAATGAGTCCCGTACCTGTTTGCTCTGTGGGCTTGTCTCATAGCCGTGACTGGCAGTGCCTGATGTGTCAATACCCGAACTGTGTGGCAGAACATTGTGTGGTGGGGTCTACGGTCCTAACCCTAACGCAGCTTTGTTTTTATTCTATAAACCAGTTAAACTATGTTTATTTCACCAGGTAAAGCCCACTGAGCTATATAGCTCAACGAAATTGCTCGTGTGGAAATATATAGCAGCCAAATACTCCAAATGTGGAAGACCCCGAGTAAAATCCACGCAAACTTCAGATATACAGGCGTCAGGGTCGGGATCGAACCCACAATCTCCTGTAGACCAGGCGAGGTAGTTAACATCTCGGCACCGCGGCGGAATGTGACCGAGACGCACGTGGCCTGTGTCACTAACCCCACGTGACCCAGTGTCCCCTGCCTCTCCATGTCAATGTCCCCGTGCCCTTCTTGCGTGCGTCTCCATTTACCCATGGAGTTCCTGTGCCCTCGGGCGCAAACCTTTGCTTAGCCAGCAAGGTCCAGCGAGATCGGGCGCATACCGGCTAATTTTGTCCACAACGTTTTGCCACGTGGTTGTGTACAGTCCGCGTGGCTGTGAAGTGGGACTGATGGTGAGTGGGGAGATGGTGAGAATTCAAGTGGTGACCCCCACTCCAGCGTCGTGTGGCTTCACGGCTGTTTCATGTTTGACCTTGGGGTGACCTTACCTTCCCGTTCAGCCCGACTCTAGATGCACTTACTATGGTAATGGTAACACCGCTAATGGTGTAAAGCAGTAGTTAACGCCTGTGCCTCACGGCAAGAAGGACCTGAGTTCGATTCCTGACTCGGGCGCCTTTGTGCGTGGCGTTTGTACGTTCTGTCCTCCAGTTCTGTATGGGTTTCCTCCGGGTTCACCAATTTCCTCACATCACCAAAGCATCCCAATTCTGAAAATCACCTGCAAATTACTCAATTGGAAGTACACACTGCAACAGCAACCAACATTGCCCCCGACTGCAAAAAACTTGGCAGGACCCTCCTGAAAAAGAGTCTCGAGACTCGGGCTTTCTTGGGTAAACAAGCTTGGTAGTAATGAGTATAAAATAGCACGGGTTCACTCACTGCGTTAGTCTTGCAGGGTTCGGCAACCTACAGCTCTTTAAGGACTGCATTGCAGCTCTTGATATATTGAGTTTTTTTTTTTAAGAATTTGCAAAAGATGGCTCTTCCAGTTATTTTGGTTGCCGACTCCTGACGATAGTTTTCCCATGGGAGTCCAGTTTATCATGGAAGTCCAGTTTATCATGGAAGTCCAGTTTACCATGGACAGGGGTCAGCAACCTGTGGCTCCAGAGCTGCCTGTGGCTCTTTAAGGACTGCCTCGTGACATTATTTATTAAGTACCACCGTCTCGTGTTCACATATTGAGTTTGTTTTACTGGTAGCATCCCACTGGTTCCACCAGCCCACAGAGGATTATTGTGTCCGTCCGTCTGTCGTGCAGGGAGAGGCTGGGTGGGGAGGAAGGGGCTGGGTGGGGAGGGAGGGGTGGGGCTGGGTGGGGAGGGGTTGATCACCCCGTGGTGCCCTTATAAAACTCAACGTTTAACCTACTCACGCCGGCTTGTGCCCGCCTTCACAGTCGGGCATATTTGCGGAATACACCACGCCGCCATTGACCCTGGCTATTGACCGAGCAACCCAACGTTCCTACCAGCTCCCTCCGCAGGAATGTGTTACCGAATTCGAAAAAAATGGCTCTTGTTATTTCGGTTGCCGAGCAGGCAGGAGTGCGTGACAGATGACAGCAGTACAAGCTAAACTAAACTATTTTTTATTTTACCAGGTAAGGCTCACTGAGCTATATAGCTCTGTTTCAGAAGTGACCAGGCCACAAATTCTTGCTCAACAACGTGGAAATGTTGATTTTAAACGTGGAGGAAGAAACCGGAGGACCCCGGAGAAAAGTCCACAAGACCACGTGGAGAGAGAACATGCAAACTCCAAATATACGGGCGTTAGGATCAAACCCACGACCTCCTGCATACCAGGCTAGGTGATTAACATCAAGCCAGTCCGCATTGGGAGCCTCGGCGACAAAGTAAAATTCCCGCTCACGGCCTACACCAGTGGCGATTATCTGAACAAAGGTCCCGGGCCTCCCCTAGGTCGGCTCAGCTTCAAATGACTAACCAGTAGCAGTGTGTGAACATCACCACTGGTGAGATAAAGGCGGTCGGGCGTGGTGATTGGCCACCTACACCCTCGTGTGCTGTGCTGGCCTTCATAGGTGCTCGCTATACAGCACTTGCCCCAACAGTCTGTCAAGGTTATACGGAGATCTTTGAATGTATGTTGACTTCTTTCTCACTGTAGGTAGCCAATCGTGCTAATCGGAGGCGCGTGGGAAGGACAACAAACTAAAGACAAAAAGCAGTTTTAAAGAAATGAGTTTTGAATCTAATATCATCGTGTAGTAGTGTGCCCTCTCATTGAGCTCGGTGGTGATAGTGGTGGCAGCCGTGCACCTGGCCTGTGATCCAGCTGTGGAGGCGAGAGTTGGTGAATCACACACAGACGTTGCAAAACTCCCTTCCCGTTGGCGTTGACCAGGGAAAAGGTCGGACAGCAGATGAACTAATCGCCATCAGTTTCCGCCTGGGGATTAAGTGTTTCCCCCTCGCACGTGTGGGTTTTCTCTGGCTGTGCTCCGGTTTCCTACCACTCGTATAAACAATCATCATTCATTGGCTGAAAAACAATCTTAAAACAAAAAAAATCCTAGACCCTCCTGAAAACGAGTGCTACGACTTGGCATGGCTGTCCTGGATAAATAGGGAAAAATAAGTAAATTAGAGAGGTTTTGCTCCTTTAGAGTCAACGTGTTAGAATTGACGCTCGAGCTGGTGAATGGGTTTGAAGCGGGGTGTTCGTCCTGGCCCCCTCCCTCCTTGCTCACATCTCAAGCTACGATTGCGTTACCTCCTGCAGAGTCACGCACCAAAAATACCGGCATTGCCCAAGTGGCAATTCTAAATCGGGGTTAGGTGCAGCCGGGGTGGACCCTGTTGTTATGGTGTTACCAGACTCTCGTGCCACATTCCAATGGCTACTGGGGTAGTAGGCTGGTCCCATGTTCCTGATCGGGGCCTTGGTGGGCTCAGCCCCGATTCCCGGCATGGCCTTGACTTGACCCAGCAGGTGCCAAGTAGGCCCTGCGCCCTATTTAAAGTGGGCCGAGTAGTCCATTTTATCCCGGGCTGTCATCATAAATGGTCGTGCCAACACGGGATTGTCGATATGTGTGTTGAACTTTTTTTGCACCGTATGTAGCCAACAATGGTAATCGGAAGTGTGGGGGAAGGGCAAGAAACTAAACACAAAAAGCAGTTCTTACGAAATTAGTTTGCAATCTGGCTTCCTAGTATCGGAATGAGACGCTGTGCGACAATTGAATTGCATGTTTAACAATCACAAAACTGGGGAAATGTATCAAATTAACCGACTTTGGTGCGATAACATTCAGCCTCTTTTGTCAGTCCACTGCTGGATGCAGGCCCTCCCCACGCCGTGTCAGGCACGGGCCTTGACCATACTTAGCCAATCTAGTGAGGGTGGGGAAACAGAGGGTTCCCGCACCTACGATATTCCACGGTTGGCTATGTACAGTGCGAAAGAAGTTCAACATTCATACACGTGTAGAGAAGTTCCCACGGACGCACTCAGAGACGGAGGTATGTTACGGGCTTTCGCCAAGGGTTTATTAAAGGTGAACAATAACTCCAAGGGTACACAACTCCCATGGGCTAGGGGTCCTACTCTGAGTCCGGGTCCCTGCCCAGCTAGCTCCGGTTTCTCTCTCTCGTGTCGGATCGGGGACTCTGCCGACTCCACCGACCGGAGAGAGAAGCACCTCTATCGGCTACCACCGCCTTCTCCCCAGACTCACCACTTGATCCCTCTCTCTACCCCTGGTTCCCTCTTCACCCTTCTTACTCTACCCGTTCCCACAGTGACCCCGCTTTCGTCACGGGCCCTCCCTTAAGTACCCTAGGAGACGTGACGTCATCACACTGAACGGCACACCTGACGTCACGTCCCCATTTTACTCCTCTACACACGCAAAGGTTACAGCATGACAATGGATTTGACCACTGCCATCTGCTGGCCCGCCACCTGAACCAGCAGCCTGTGTATTGCACCCGAGCGCTATCCAGGCTGAAATCTACTTGGCGTCTGAGGCCTGACAAAGAATCGACGCCGCCTTCTGGTTGATTTAGACATGGTCCAAGAGCACGGTTAGTTTAGTATTACAACTCGGTGTGGCGTAGTGTTAACTACCTCGTCTGGTATACAAGAGGTCGTGGGTTCGATCCCGACTCTTGACTCCTGCTGTATATTTGGAGTTTG